GAAAGCATTAAGTAAATAAAAAAACATAAAATCACCAGGAGAGGACAGAATATCCAACAAGCTCCTAAAGTATGGAGAACCAGATTTTACCAAACAACTATTAAGACTAATCCAAAAACTAATAGAACAAAACAGAGATCCTCAAGAAAGGAGATTAAACATAATACCTCTCTTCAAAAAGGGAGACAAATCGTACCCAGAAAATTACAGAGGAGTTAATTAATTAATCACTATAATAAAATTAACAGCCAAAGTGCTAACGAATAAATTGAATGAAATTATAATAGTAGTAGAACAACAAGGTTTTAGGTTGGAAAGTTCATGATTCGATGCTCTATCCATATCTGTAGAGTAGGGAGGGCGAGTTAAGTTTCACAGCACTTAGGCCACAATTGACCAGGAGACATCTCTCTTATGTGGGCAGGTGTGGGCCAGGACTCAGCCATTCACATAGGACGTGCTCTACGGTTTCGTCTTCTCGTTCACACTTTCTAGATAGAGGTGTGTCTGCTAGCCCCAGTGTGTGGAGATGTTTGTTTAGTTTACAATGACCAGTTAAAAAACCAACTGTCAAGCGTAGGCTTTTCCTGGTCATTCCCAAGTTCTTTGATGCTGACTCTTCAAGGTTACTTAGTGTTACCCTGGCAAGTTTACATCCTTGCCCTTCTTCCCATCTTTTTACGGTTTGCGTATGGGAGTGATATTTGACAATTTTGCGATTGTTGTAGTTGACCAACCAAAAAAATCTCCAGGTCCTAAGAGTCTTAGGGCTGCCGCCTTCCTAGCTAATTGGTCAGCAATGCGGTTGCCTTTACTCCTATTGTGGCCTTTAACCCAGCTAAGGATGATGGTATTACCACTGAAGCCTGAGTTAGTGACTCGTGACACACCATTACTAACCCTGATGTGACATGGTCTATTCAAGGTTAGTAGCGCTTGTCTGCTATCTGTGTTGTTTTCCCTGCTATAACTTTTTGGTTATTTCTTTTGTGGCTATGGAGATACCAGCCAGTTCTGTCTGATCTACGCTGGCATTTTTGCCCATGCCCCCTTTATTCTTATTTTCAGTGATCTGGAGTATATCCCACATCCTGAGCCTTCTTTTATTTTGAAGCCATCGGTGTATATGCAATAATTGATCGAATGCTCGAGTAAATGAACTCTGAAAAATAAGGCTATTATCGAGCACAAGTTTAATTAAATCTTGCCCAAATACTTTCACTTAAAATAGCATCTTCAGGGGCATTTCGTCAAATATAAGCTATCCAGCAAGCGTAGAATGTGAAAAACATGAGTAATAACATAAAATTGTACAAAACACTACACTCAAACAAGGACAAACAGTTTAAAATTACTTAAAAGATTCTACACACTACATTCTTTGTCAGTATTAGGTCATGTCTACGTAAAAAGAAGAAAAAAATGATGAATTTTTGGGCCAATTGTCTTTCCAGGCTATAGTTACACTTACTGGCAAGAACTATTCCTCTTTTCATTTCTTTGCTGACATCGCTGTCATTAGTTAGTAACGAATTTAGTTATTTGAAGGTGTTCACACCTTTTAACCTGATATCGTCAATTAATAGTCTAGTCTAGTCAATATTTTAGATGTTTTCTAAAAAGTGCAGGCGCCCTTAACGACCGAAATGGTTTCTGTCAGGGACTTTGTGAATTCTGCCATTATTAAATATTTATTGAAGGTACCGCTGTTGATAATCCGGAAGTCATGAATAACCTGTTCCAGTGCAAGGTTTAAATTGAGGTCTTTTTGAGAAGTTTAAATTGAAGTCCGTTACCTTATCTTAATCCGTTTTACAGCGAAAAGATCCTGAGGTGTCGTTCTGGATTCTGTTTATACTGTCTGTGCGTGTAAGTGTTATATCTGTTAGTTTATTAAGCTGGAATGGTATTTGGAATGAAGTATACCATATCCAGTAGTAGAAGAATTATTTCGCGCAGCAGCCGACAGAGAAAGGTTTCAGGAAATCGTGAACATGATGACGGCCAACGTCTGAATACGGACACGGCACCCAAAGAAGAAGAAGATACCATATGCCAAAGGCTCACTGATGTCCCCTACTAGTTGTTTGGTGTATAAGAGCATTTATTTTGTATAGTACATTATATAGTATTTATTATAGTAATAACAAGAGGGCAATGTCTTTATAATTGTAGCATACCTTCATATCCATACATACAAGAACATGTTTGGTAGTCCGCGGGTGTCCGCTCATCAGATTCCAGGCTTTATTTATTAACTTATGCGTGTGTTTTAACAGTTTGTCGTTGCCGTTTTTAAAACGTTCGGAACGGAGATTATCCACCTCAGGGGTTCTGTTATTTTTTAATTTTGATATTACGTTTCTTTCCCGGTGGAAAACAGCACATGAGCATTTCCAATATCGAGACCTCTATTATATCATCTTCATTGTTATAACTTAATAGTTTTTTAAAATGTTTATCCCACCTGTTCAATATCTGTTCTTTGTCACTAATTAAAGAGTGTCCTTATTTCTACATGATATTATTCTATGTTTAAAGTATTTATTAAAACTGTTTTGGTAAAAAGTGAGTTTTTTTTTTGTACTTCTCTAAGATTTTCATATTCTTCCATAGTTAACCATGTTTGTAATGTTCATTATGTTCAAGAGGCTGCGTAAATAAGAGTAAGAGAAGATTATATAATGATATGATCTATAAGAAGTCAAAAATACAAATATGTCTGGGTATACATACAATTAGAAAATAACAATTATTAAAATGTATAAAACATCAATATTTATTTTATAACAAATATTTATCATATTATCTTAATTTTATATAAGAATTATATAATATATTATCAGTATAAGTGTGTTAAATAAACCTTAATCATGATAATAATGCAAATAAAGAGCTTTAGTTTGTACCCAAGTAAAGTTTTATTAGAACCTACATAGAACCTACATGTGCACACTATGAGTTGGTTATTTTTTTATTTTGACTTGTTATAAACCTTGTGTAACTTTTAGTTAAACAAACTGTCTATCTATTAGTTACGGATTGCAATTGATTGTATATTTTAAATACTTTTTAGTTACTTACTTTTCATGTTTAGATCACTTCTTTAGATTTGATACTTCCAATGTTTTGCCACTTAGATGACCCAATTATTAGCTGCCATTAGGTCAAGGTGCGTATATTCCTGGGTCAAATCCGTGCAGACCAATAGATGTTCAGGATTTTGCACTTCACTTAAGTTGAATTTGTCTTTTTCTGTATAATTCCATATTTTTAAGTTTTACTCACACCGCGACAAATCAGTTTTGAATATATGCAGGAACCTCTGTTTAGTGTAAGATAATTGATGACCTGCAGACACATCTTCTTTTGTTGTTAGGTCATAAGCAACGGCCGCTTTTCTCCAAAGCTGTGGGCAACATTGTACAACGGTGGTTTTAATTGGGGGTAGAACTTATGAAGTTTTTACAAGATTTAAATCTTGGTGAGTGTCTTCGCTACACAAACATGGAATGACGTCGATCATTCTCTTGGTTCTTCTCGATCTCAGAAATGACTTTGCTTATGATGTTTGGAGGAGTAATATTAATAAACTGGTTTACATTCTAAACTAAGATTTTAAGCACCTGCATATTATTCGGGCTTTCTAGTTTATAGGGTGATTAACATGACAAGTGTGAGTAAAGTGATTTTAAACTAAAGCTGAATATTTTGCTGCAGGGAAACACAAAGCAACGGCTAGTTTTCTTAACACACTTTACTGAACTCTTCAAATTATTCTAGTTAGCTTGAGTAATATGTTGTTTTTTTATTGTGTCTTTTCTTTTCTACATTCGCAGTGTATTTTAAATGTGAGAATGCAGTCAAATTTTACCATAAAGTATTTTGGATCCGTGTAGTTCTCTAATAATTATCCTCGCCATGGTATCTTTAGTTTCTTTCTAGATTGATAGTTATATAGATGATAGGAGAAGGCTTAAGTTTTCGTTGGGTTTGGTCTTAATAAATTTTTTCCTGTAGTACTTACTTTGCTAGTTTTTCTAGCGCAGGCGATAATTTCATTTTTACATCTTTAAAATCTCTCTCCTGTGTAGTCATCACCAAATAATCAGTACAAATATAATTTTGCAAGAAAATTATTTCAAAATGTTTATTTTCTCAGTACTGAATTATGTTTACAACGCATTTACCTGTAATATTCGTGAGTCGACTAGGTACAATAGGACACTTCTTTTCGCACAACTATATGTAAAACTGTTTGTAATAAATCAGAATTAAGTTTCGAGTAATCAATTACAGACTTATACTAATTACCGGCGGCTATAAAACTGATTTATGGGCTCGCGATTGAATACAACGCTGATTTTGTCATAAATTATTTGTGCATTTTTGCAACACGAATCCGAATACACCAATCATTTTATTTGCTTCTGTTTGCTTCGATAAAATCGATGTTGGAACTGGTGTTCCTCGATACAATACAGTTGTAGCTAGGAACTAGCTCAGCTCATATTTTAACTGATAATATAGTCCTGTGAATTTAACTAAAAACTGATAAAAATTACCTTATTATTTGTGTATATTTAATGTATTAAAAGAAGCACTGTATATGTAGCAGTATTATGTTCCTTAATGTTTTTAAACAACTTTATAACAAAGCCATTAAGCGACAGGCATATATTTAATTAAAATTAAAATAAACTTCTGTTTAGATCAAAATATGCATTTTTTACGCTAAGGATGCCTTAGATAATTAATAGTAGATATTATAGGTTTATATTTGGTTTAAATTTACAAAGCCATTTTATAATTTCCTTATAAATGTTTTATTGTCAAAATATGTATAACCAATAATAAATAGTATTTTTTTTATTTATTTTATTATATCACAATTACAAAATTTTGATGGTGGGCCAATTCTGGTATAATAAATGTTACATAAGGTTATAATTTAAAATAAAGAAACAAAAGAATAACATATTAAATTTTGTGATACAAATATGATTCATTTGGGAAAGTTCTGGGTGGCTGAGAAATCTCTTGTTCGCACTAGCTCATACTTGTTGTTTACTACACAGCTAGGTAATTCTTCCAAAGCTATTGTTCTTACAGGTCTGCATTAATCAGCCGCTAGTCTAATTCTTAACCTGTGGCCGATTAATTTGTTTGTTCAACTTAAGTTAGATAGCTGTAAGGTTTGGATGGTAGGTTGTATTTTATGAAGATTAAAGCTAAAATTTCTCCATTGGTTTTGTTAGGACTTTTTGATTTGAAACGAAAACGATTTGGACAGTTTTGTGTCTGAATGGGTGGTCATTTCTTTCTTTGCAGTAGTGTCAGCAGTCTTATTACCTAAAATTACAAAGTTAGAAAGAGTTCAAATTAATGTTTTGTTTATTTGAGAAGAAGTCAGATGGTTGTTTGCTAACGTATTTTATAAACTAATGGATATTCTATGAATAGAATCTCTTTAGCCCTGCGAACGTTTGTTTCAGGAATTAGTTGTTGTTTTCATTTTTTAGTAATTCCTAAGCAAAATGTGTATTTTTTAAACACATTAGTCCAAGAAGGTGTTAATGATAGTATACGAGTATCTGTTACTGAAAGATCAATTCATCGTGTTAAAGGAAGTAAAATTTGAGATCGTTGTATTTATTGATATTTGTCTGATATTTATTGTTCAGCTCACAATTATAGGGTTTTTCAATTAGCTCATATACGGGGTTCTTTCGATTCGAAGATTCTTTAGCAAAGTATGTTAGAAGCAGTTATTGTCGCCAAAGAGCAAGTATTAGCTCACCTGTATTACAGCGAAGACTGAAGGACTGGATCTGACGGCTACGAGGCATGGTAATAAGAGTTTTTAGATAAGGCTTTGATGCTGCCATGTATATGAAGGTTTCGTAGTCTAGTGGAGAGAATATGTATATTTATGAGAAAGTTGGATTTTATTTTTGAATTTTAAATAAACCGATAAATTAGAGCTAAATGTAAAATAGTTTATATAGTAGTAGCATAATCTGGTAATTATTTTTACTATAATTGCCTTAGTAGTCGGTGCCTTTCGATCTGGTTTGAGTCTTCTTACAAACTCCTTCTGATGACGGGTAGACCCAGAAACACGTGTCAGGGAGTGGTAAGAGACTCAAATTAAATCGAAACGCAACCGTCATTTATTTTGTTATTGTCCTTACTCGACGCAATGAGTACAAAAATGATAGTAATTTATTTGGGTAAATTGTTGATGCATAGTGGAATTTTAATATTCTTAGCATCGCTCTGAATGGCTTGATTAAGCTTGGGTTATACAGTCTACTTTAATTGCTATCGATATTTAACTACATGTTTCCTCACTAGAGGCCTCTAGTAGCATACTCTGGTAATTATTTTTACTATAATTGCATTAGTAGTCGGTGCGTTTTGATTTGGTTTGAGTTTTCCTACAAACTCCTTCTGATGACGGGTAGACCCAGAAACACGTGTCAGGGAGTGGTAACAGACTCAAATTAAATCGAAACGTAATCGTCATTTATTTTATTTAGTTTATATAAATTGTAATCGATCGAGAGAAATAGTTAACTAACTAAATTAACTGTGTCATAAATGTTAATTATATTATTATTTATATAAATATATATATATATATATATATATATATATATATATATATATATATACATATATATACATATATATATATATATATACATATATATATATATATATATCTTTTTTTTCTTTTTTGTCAACCATTTTCCATCCAGTCCTGAATGTAGGTCTCTCCCAGTTGCTTCCATCTTTCTCTATCTTGCGCCAATCTAATCCACTGTTTGCCTGCCACTGCTTTTATGTCATTTACACATCTTTTTTGAGGTCTTCCCATGCTTCTTGTTGTCGTCCTTGGTCACCATTCTAAAATTCTCCGTGTCCGCCTGTTGTCATGTTTCTAATCTTGTCTTTTAGTAATATTCTAAGCACGATTCATTCGTTCCATTGCTATTTGCTTTGTTTCTAATTTTTTAGCAGATTTTTTGGTAAGGGCTACTGTCTCCAAACTGTAGGTACAAACTGGTAGTATGCATGTGTTATACACCTTTTTTTTAAGTTTACAGGATAGGAGGTGTTTTTCAAAATATATGCTAGTTTGCCGAAAGCTCCCGATGCAAGTTGTGTTCTTCTTTTAATTTCAGCATCTTGATTTGGTTTTCCTAGTTTGATGACATGACCTAGAAATACATAATATTTAATATTGTCTATGGTATGATTTTGTATTCTTATATTTGTCTGGTCTCGGCTCAGTATTTTTGTTTTACTGTAGTTTATTTTTAAGCGTACCGTTAGTGAAACTGCATTAATTTGTTGTAACATATGTATCCATTCTTGGATATTATCGGCTATTCAAACTATGTCATCTGAGAATCTCAAGTGGTTTAAGTATGATCCGTCGACGTTGATACCCTTGTTGTTCCATTCTAGTCTCTTAAAACTGTCTTCTAGAGCAAGGGTAAATAATTTGGAAGAGATGGTGTCTATTTGTCTTACTCCCCGTTGTAGTCTTATGGGATTAGTTTTTTGTGCTTTCGTCCAGGTTTATCTGTATGGTGGCATTTTCATATATGTTTTTAATTATGTTAGTGTATCTTGAATCTATACGTGCATTTTCTAGAGATTTAAGCACTGCCCATAATTCGATGGAATGCTTTATGGAAATCGACGAACGCCATATGAATTGGAATATTATACTCGGCACATTTTTCTATAAGTGTTCTTACGGTGTGCAAGTGGTCTATGGTACTAAAATACTTTTTGAATCCAGCCTGCTCGTTAAGTTAATAGAAATCGAGCTTATGTGTTAGGCGGTTTTTTTATATTAGTTAGTAATTTACACAGATGTGATATCAAGGATATTGGTGGGTAATTATCGATGTTTGCTTTGTCTCCTTTCTTAAATAGTAAAATGACTTCGGAGTTGTACCATCCTTGAGGAATCTTTCCTTCATCAGTTACTTCATTAAATAAAATATTTAATACCTGTTCTATTTTTCTGCCACCAATTTTCAACATTTCAACTGTAATTTTATCCTCTTCCGGACATTTATTCGTTATTAGTTGATTTAGGACCATTCTTAGTTCATACTCGGTTATGACTGGTATTTCTTATGAGCCGGTGTTAATTATTGTTCGTTCAGTACGTCGTTGTTGTGGTTGTGTATTTACCGAGTATAATTTAGTGTAGAAATTTTCAAAGGCCTCGCTTATTTCCTTTCTGTCTCGGACGTGCCGTTTTTCTCATTTTTTATTTATATGATTTTTGTTGTGCCGCATGAGTTTTTTGCTTTTTGTACTTTTGTGTTGCAGTTATCTTGTATTCTATTTTTTATCAGATTGTTATTATAGTTTCTATGATCGTTCCTAATTTCTTTCTTCAAGTTTTTGTTTAAACTTTTGAAGCTGTTCCAAGTTCGATCTGTTCTGTTTCATCTTTCTTGGAGTAGTTTAATTGTATTAGGTTGGAGTTTAATTTTTTTGGCTGTTCTCGTGTTTGAGCATATTTTCTTTACCGATGTTGTTACAGTTACTTTGATTTTATTGGCTAATCCGTTTGTATCCATTTGTTTCAGTGTCTCTATTGATTTTAGTCTTGTGCTTAGCTCTTTTTGCTATTCCATTTGTTTTTGAAATAGGACATCGGTGGTTGGGTATCGTTCTCGTTTAATAAGTTTGTTTCGTTGCACTCTCGTCTGTAGATATTTTAATATTCGCTCTAACCAATCTATGGTCACTCCCTGTATAGAATTTGTTTAGTACTGTCCCTCAATGTCTATGTTTTTGCTATTGGAGAGTATGTAGTAAATTTGGGGCTTGGTTTTTTCTTGTGTTCAAAACAAGTTCCTATCGCTCGTCTAGCAGCTACTTCTCCCCGTAATATCTGTGTTGATAATTGATTTTTAGTTTACACTTGAATCCCATTGTTTTCCTTTCTGTACACTATTTTAAAATAATTTCTTGTTAAAAATTATGCATGTTTAAATGCACTTGGATGCATGCGAATACAGAATTTAAATGATTGTCAACTGTTTTTATAATTCTGTTCTATCAGGCTCATAGTTGGACTTCTCAACAGAAAAGCATAACATGTAAAATTATGTTGCTTTATTTGAGATGTTTTAAATAGTATTAAATGCTATTTATAAAAAGAGGTTTTAAAAATTAATGCAGTACATATTTTAACACAACTATTTTTAGTGCATATAACCAACCGTATAAACAATTTATATGTATTTTTTTATTCTATATGCATATTTGTTCCATCTAATATGGTAAATCACTCATATAATCACTGCTGTCCATTTTACCCATTTCCATGTTATAAAAAATGTTAAAATGTGCATAAAATTGGTCTGCAATTATCCCGTCATATAAATATTCGACATAACATTATTTAATTTTACCTTTACTATTTTGCATTCAATTATGAAACACTCCATTGAGTTATGAAGCACGATAAAATTGATATGCGTTTAATCTACGGACTATTTCAATATTGCCATCCGATTAATTTAATTTTGAATTTACAATTTTATACCATTTTGTAGTAATTTATATTACGTATAAACCGGGTGGATAAAGTTAAGCGGATATTGAAAAGTATTTAAATATTTTTAAAAGTAAATCAAATAATTATAGAAGGAAAGGGCAAGAATTTTGAATTTTAAAAATTTACAATTTGTACAAACAATAATTATTATTATATTTCGAATTTAATAAACCAATTTAGCACATTTATACTGTTACTATCCAATCACGTCTAAAATAATATTTTTAAACAGAATTTGCATTTTATAATGCTACATTATTTTCTGTTTTTTACTATATCATAATAAGTAAAACATATTTAATATATCAAAGAAGTTTCCCGTAACACTCGACTACGATTTATATACATATATTGTAAACTGGTAATTAGTGTATTAAGTAGCAAAATATTATCAGACATTACTTAAAATAATAAAATCTATTAAAAAAACGTTTATTCAATTTAATATATGATACACAACATTCCCAACATACATAGGTTTAAA